CGAGATCGGGGCACTTAATTATATCTACCGGTAATCAATCAAGTAAATAAATCAAGTTATGTAATCGTAATTAAATATCGATAGTTAATCAGTAGGTGATATTCGGAGATGAAATGAGTAGTATTTTTTTGTTGTTTGATAAATATTGTTATTGTATGATGTAATCATAATAAATTAATAAAGAATTACAAGTCATCAAAATAATCGCTTAAATTTTTTTAAAATTCTTAAGTAATAATACATATTTATTTTCGAATTATTAATATTTCATAAAATAATATGCCTCCCAAAAGAACTTTTAAACAAACCACTAAAGAGCAAAGGCTTGCGATGGTTATGTTTATAGAAAATTCTGACAATCGAGACATTATTGATGGAAGAGTGGCAATTGGTGCACCTGTAAGTGGCAAGCCTTTAACAAAAAATGCAGGCTTTGCACAAATGACTTTATTTGTAAATAAACGTTGCAAGAATAGTGATTGGAGTGCTAAAATAGCAAGTGGTCAATGGGCAACTTATAAAAAAATGTATATGGAAACCCATAGATTAACTGAAAAATCTGGTTGGGGTTTAACTGAGGAAGATAATGCGAAAGGTATTAATACTATTGATGCCAAATTAGAAGAGTTGTGTCTATATTATAGTAGGATTGATTTGATATATGGCAAGAGACAAAATATTCAACCTGCTTTTCTTGAAAATTTTGGTTTAAATGGTGAAGATGAGTTGAATGGTAATTGAATTTTTTTTTTAAATTTATAAAAAAAAAATTATTAATTAAATATATAAAATTTAATCAAGGTCAAGATGAAACCGAAATAGAAAATAATATTCAAAATCAATATGAAACTGAATTCGAAAATAATAATCAAGATCAAAATGAAACTGAATTATATGATGGTATTGTTATTACTTTTATTAATTTTAATATAATTAATATTTAAATTACAGGTTTTGAAAACCAACTTTGTACAAATTAACAATCAAATTCATACAATTAACAGATCAAATTTGTACATTTAATGGATCAAATTCATATAATTTGATAAACCAAATTCGTACAATTTAAAAATCAAATTCGTACAAATTGACAATCGAATTTATACGAGTAGAATTAATTTTTAATATTCAAAAGGTCGAGAATAGATTTTAATAATCTTGTTGGATTGTATGTGGTTAATTCATAATAGATATATATATATATATAGCCACATATGTCACATTGTTGGTTCTTAAAAGTCACTATACATTTTGAGAGAGGTAAGATTATAATATTATATTATTTATTATATGTAGCGTGTTTATTCTGTTAAAGTTTTTTTTTATATTCTATATAAGTTTAAAAATAATATACAATTAAAGGGTAAAAGTATCTATGGATTAGCTCAAAGCATAATCATGAATAAATATATGTTGACATTTGATTAGTTCGGTACTAGAAGATATATTGTATGCAGGGAGAAAATTGAATGTAAAAATTAAATATTATCATTATGCCAGACCTAACTCCTGAAGAATTGTAATAGTTCATATTGGAAACACATGTACAATCAGTATTGTAAGAACACTAATTGATGTTTTCAATATGTGCTATAGCAATTCTTCAGGAGTTAAGACCGGCATAGTGATATCGTTAAGTTTTACTTTCATATTATCTTTGTGTAGCACTCATTTAATAAGACTTTCAAACTTAAATTAACTTACTGAGAAGCTTGTTAATGAAGTGACAAGGCGATCATTATTGTGAAATCTGATAACTTTATATGATCAGATGACTTTATGAATCACAACTCAATTTGTTATTTAGCTTCTTATAGATATTTGTATACAGTCTTATGGTGTCTTGTTAGATACAAGTATTTTCTGGTTAATATGGTTGTTTAAATGTGTAATTATATGAGAATGGATAAGAGAAGCAAGGGGGTAATTATATGGTTCTGAATATGCACCAGTAATATATTTAAGGAGCCTTGGATTAGTGAAAAAGAATATCTTTCTTTTCGCTACCACTCGACTTGGAGTGAAGACTGGCTCTATTGTTCCACCTCTCCCACCCATTTCTCGGTAACTTTTGAAACTTGTTTAGCTAGTGCTATTAGGTCCTGCGGCTACTGCTAGCAGCATAAGGACTTCATATTTGGAAATTAGGCTTCTGGTGCTGTAACAGAACAAGAATTTCACTTTTGGTATTTAGGCTTCGCGGCTGCTGTAGGCAGTACAAGAATCTTCAGTTTGGTGTTTAGGCTTCACAGCTGCTGCAAGCAGCATAATAACCTCATATTTCAGTGACTAGACTCCATTGCTACTGTAGGCAGTGCAAGAACCTATGTCTTCATAATATTCATGCCATCAAATGCCTACACCAACGATTCTCTTTATAGCTATAAAATTTCCTCTTGTTATAGATAGATAATAGATTGTATGATTTGTTAGGATAAGATATTCTTTCAGAGATATAATCATTTAAGCATTTTGATATAGAGCCTGTAAAACCTGTATATGATAGCGAATAGAATTTCCATATGTTCTTCATAAAAAAATAGTCATCTGATCGAGCAATAATAATTTAAAAAATCAAAATAGTTTTTCTTAGAGCGATAAATGTTTTGAGTGCAACAATGTTCGATTGTTTGACCACTTTTATATAATTGTAGTCACAAGCATCAACTTTTCATATACTACCCAACCAGATTGCTGAATATATAGTACCAAATTCTTCTTTGCCAATTTCTTAACATTGGATAATCTATTCTCATAATTAAAGGTAAATCAATATCTATACTTGAATAGTTATATTGGGATCGTATCAAATACCATGTTTCAAATTTGTTGTTTTTATTTGCTATAATTAGGATTTATTTATTAAGAACATGTCTTGGAACTTTAAACTGAGGTTCAGGTTTAGATATCTATAAGTTCAAGTTCAGTTTGGGTTTATATTCAGATTTAAGTCTAGATTTCATGCTTGTTAGAACCCTAGAAATTATGATATCACAATAATGTAATTAGTCAATTATTAGATAATTTATATATATTATTTTTTATTTATTAATTATATACTAGATAATGATTGTAATAATTATATCAATATATTGTAATATTTATACATGAGTTACACCAAGAGAAAATCAACTTCAGAATTTTAAACTTATAATTTATTGGTTAAAAAATTTGTATAATTATATCCAATAAATTATTAATTTAAAAGTTCGATATCTTATATAATGTAAAATTTTTTATTATTTATTAACGTCATATTTATTTAATTTTAATAAATAGAAATATTTAATAAATGTAAAAAATTTGCATATTTTCTCTAATAATGCCTAAACAAAAAAAATTAAGAGAATCTAATTATCAAAAGATTTCTTTCGAAAAAAGAAAAAAAATTATAAATAATGTTAACAACAAAGGCATATCAATTCAGAAAGTTGTAGCAAATTATCGATTAGCTCCTTCAACAGTTGAAACTATTATTAATCGGTTTGATAAAGAAGATCGAATTGCTCTTGAGCCACGAGGTGGTGATAAAAAATCAATCTTAAATGAACAGCATAAAGAATTTTTAAGAGATGCAATCGAAGAAGAACCATGGATTGCCATTTGCGATCTAACCCAAAAATTGTTAAAACAATTTCCAGAAATAAAGGTAAATACTTATATAATCTTATGTTATAAACTTTAAAAGTTAAATTTATATTTATTTATATATTATTCTAGTTAAGCGATCGTACAGTATTAAATTATGTAAAACATCTTGGTTTTACCTTAAAAAGACTTACTGTAGTACCAGAACATCGTAATACTGATAAAACAATTTAAGAAAGAAAACAATATGTAGAAAAAACCTATAATGAAAAGATTAATATTTATAAAGATATGATCTACATAGATAAAACAGGTTTTAACCTACATCTTTCAACATCAAGAGGCAGAGCATACTGTGGACAGCCTGCCATTCGTGATGTTGTAAGTAATAGAGGCAAAAAAATTACTATTATTGCTGCGATAAATGAAAATAGAGTTCTATACTATAAATCTATTTTAGGTTCATCAAATTCAGAAATTTTTTCTAATTTTATTCATGAACTTATTAATAATATTTCAAATAACAAATTTTTAACAATAGATAATATTAGATTTTATAAATCTAATATAGTTAAAAAAGCCATTAAAAATACTACATATAAAATTTTATATCTACCTTCTTATTCTCTTTTTTTAAATCCTATTGAGAATTGTTTTTCCAAAATTAAAAATAATGTTTCTAGAAGTCATTTAAGGGATCATGAATCTATTTTGGGTAGATTTGATGAGGCTATTACTACAATTACTAAT